TGTGTGTGTGTGAATGTGCATATTATTTAAATATACCGCTATTTAAATGAGTCGTATTTCAAAGATGACATGATAAATGTTTAAATGATTTTATCTGGATTGACAACATACTTTTCAACATCATTTGCAAACAACCCACATAAATTATAGGTTATTGCTGTGGATGTTATTACATAAGTAAGGTATTTGGTAAGAGCTATGTAAGTAGAGGAAGTCATAATAGGTATTTCGAAGCAATCTTCAGGCGTGTACTTTTTTGAAGCGGATTTTCTAATATTTATTTTTTCAAGTGGAAAAACTGGATTTTAAAAAAAAATATTTTCATTAAGTCGTGGATTTAAAAAATATTTTTTCAAGGCGTGGATTTTTCAAAAAAATAATTTTTAAGGCGTGGATTTAAAAAAAAAAAACATTTTTTCAAGGCGTAGATTTTTTAAAAAATATTTTTTCAAGGCCTGGATTTTTTAAAAAATATTTTTTTCAAGGCCTGGATTTTAAAAAAAAAAAAAATTTTCAAGTTACCGTAAGTCGTGTATTTTTTAAAATATATTTTAAGGCGTAGGTTTTTATACCCTTCACCACACTGTGGTACAGGGTGTTATGTCTTTGTGCATATGTTTGTAACAGGCAAAAGGAATCGAGATAGACCCATGGTTCCTTTTGAGAATATGCATAGAATCACTTTCTGCGTCGAATTATGCAAGTCCGTCTATCCGTCCGTCCGCCGATGTATTTTTGTGAACAAAGTATAGGTCGGATTTATGATCCGATTTGGATGAAATTTGGCATAGGTCTCTTATTTGGCCCAAGGACGAACCCTATTGAAATTGGGAAAAAATCGGTTCAGATTTAGATATAGCTTTCATATATATATTTTCCCGATTTACGGACTTTAGTCCCTGACAATCTTTCGATTGCCACGAATCTTGCCATAGCGTAATGAAATAGATCTAGAATGATGTGTGCTAACTTTCGTGAAAATCGGTTCAGATTTAGATATAGCACCCATATATATTTTCATCCAATTTAATGTAAATGGTGCAACAAAGTCCTTAAATATCTTTCTATTTTCGCGAAATTTAGCACATCGTACTGAATTGAGTCTATAATAACGTGTGCTAAATTTCGTGAAGATCGGTGCAGATATAGATATAGCTTCCATATATATTTTCGTCCGATTTAATGTCAAAGTCCCTATATATCTTCCGATTTTTACGAAATTTGGCACAGCGTATTCAGTTTAGTCTAGAATGGTGTGTGTTAAGTTTCGTGAAAATCGGTTCAGATTTAGATATAGGTCCCATATATATTTTCGTCCGATTTAAGGCAAATGGTGCACCAAAGTCCCTATACATCTTTCGATTTGCACGAAATTCGGCACAGCGTAATGCATTAGGTATAGAATGATGTGTGTTAAGTTTCCTGAAAATCGGTTCATATTTCGATATAGCTCCCATATATATTTTCGTCCGATTTCATGTAAATGGTGAACCAAAGTCCCTAAATATTTTTCGATTTGCACGAAATTTGGCATATCGTACTGAATTGAGCCTGCCAAGTTTCGTGAAAATCGGTCTAGATTTAGATATAGCTCCCATAAATATTTTCGTCCGATTTAAGGTAAATTGAGTACCAAAGGCCCTATATATCCTTCGATTTGCACGAAATTTGGTATAACGTACTAAATTAAGTCTAGAATGATGAGTGCTAAGTTGCGGGAAAATCGGTTCATATTTAGATATAGCTCCCATATACAGTTTCGTCCAATTTAATGTAAATGGTGCACAAAAGTCTCTAAATATTTTTCGATTTGCACAAAATTTTGCATAGCGTTCTGAATTAAGCCGAGAATGAAGTTTCGAGAAAATCGGTTCAGATTTAGATGGAGCTCCCATATATATTCTCGTCATATTTAAGGTATATTGAGAACCAAAGGCCCTATATATCCTTCGATTTGCACGAAATTTGCCATAACGTACTGAATTGAGCCTAGAGTGATGTCGGTCAAGTTTCGTGAAAATCGGTCAAGGTTTAGATATAGCTTCCATATATAGTTTCGTCCGATTTCATGTAAATGGTGCACCAAAGTCCCTAAATATCTTTCGATTTGCAAGAAATTTGGCATGGCGTAATGAATTAGGTCTAGAGTGATGTCGGTCAAGTTTCGTGGAAATCGGTTCAGATTAAGATATAGCTTCTGACCAAATTAAACATTTTAGTATCGGTTGCAGAATGACATGGTTATGGATCCAATTTCATGTTACTGGTCCTTTGAAAATGCGACATATGTTAGGGTTCATCTGTTGAATATACCCAAAGTTGTGAAGGTTATCATATAGTCGGTCCCGTCCGACTTTACTACTTTCCTTACTGGATTTCAAGCTACCTTAAGGCATGGATGTTTTAAAAAAAATATTTTTTCAAGCTGCCTTTCGGCATGAATTTTTTAAGAAATATTTTTTCAAGTTCAGTTTCAATTTCATACTTGTAAGACTCCATCATAGGTCTGCCCACTTTTCATTATCCCACCTCCCCTATCATGGCCCCACTGTAGGCTACCCATAAAAACAATGGAACTTCAAACTTGTTCGCATGTCAATATTTAATACCCAACAGTGTTGTGTTGTTAACGTAATAACAGCCAACATTTTTTATTTGGTTTTCTGGGTTAAAAAATACTTTCTTCCGTTAGAGTTGAAAACAAAGCAGACCACAACAATAACAAAAAATATGAAAAGAAGAAGAACCCAGGGAAGGAGAAATATGAAGTGCAAAGTATCACCAAAACAAACAAAAGTCGAAAAAAATTTCACCAACAAAAATTTTATTTTTGTTAAAAACAGAGTTCCAAAAAAAAAAAACTTACGCATTCTTTAGGTTTGTGGTTAGACTAGTTTAGAGGGGGACTAGAAGGGGAAGCAGCAAAAAATGTGTTGATGGTAGAGATTTTCAACAAGTTGAAATATTTTTTGTTTTGTCGAAGTTCTGCTCAACTATATTTCACACATTTCTGATTTGGACTCTAATTTTTTGTGTTGGCTCCCCCCTTCGCTCCCACCCACTCCTCCATTTGTTCAATAAATAAAATACCACTCTTCTTTATTGATGAATATTCATTTCTAATTTAACCTCAATTAGGTAACACCAAATTTGGTTAAGACCTTTCAACACAAAAAAAATATTATTTTTTTCGTTACGACGTGACCACAATTAGTGAGTGAGATTTCGGTGGGGGGCTTTGGAATTCTTGCAGCTGATTGGCTTCCCATAATAATTTCACTATCATTTTGAATTTCCATACATCTATTTATTTGATTGCTTTAAATATGTAAATATTGATTTAAGTTATGGATATTCGGCATGGTCATTGTTGTTGGCATTGGCCGTTGGTTGTTGTTGTTGTTGTTGTTGTTGCAACAGAAAGGTGAAATTGAGGTTTCCGGCAGACTTGTTTAAATTTGACGCACAACTGTTGTTGGGGTACCTAATTTGGGGTCTCACATTTTTTTTTTGGTATTGACATATCGGTGATTCTTCATTTGGCATATTTTCCAAAGTGACTATTTTTTGATAAAAAAGTGAAATTTTTTCACAATACAATTTTGGCACATAGTTTTGAAAAAAGTGGTTTTCAAATAACTCCAAGGCGGGGGTTTTTAAAACAAAATATTTTTCGAATTAGATATTTTTTAAAATATTTGTCCACACTGTGGTACAGGTTATTATGTCTTTGTGCATATGTTTGTAACAGGCAAAATGAAGTTTCCTGAAAATCGGTTCAGATTTAGATATAGCTTCCATATATATTTTCGTCCGATTTAATGTAAATGGTCCACCAAAGTCCCTATACATCTTTCGATTTGCTCGAAATTTGGCACATCGTACTGAATTGCGCCTAGAATGATGTGTGTTAAGTTTCCTGAAAATCGGTTCAGATTTCGATATAGCTCCCATATATATTTTCGTCCGATTTAATGTAAATGGTCCACCAATGCTCCTATATATCTTTCGATTTGCACGAAATTTGGCACAGCGTAATGAATTAGGTCTAGAATGATGTCTGCCAAGTTTCGTGAAAATCGGTCCAGAGTTAGATATAGCTCCCATATATATTTTCGTCCGATTTAATGTAAATGGTCCACCAAAGTCCCTAAATATCTTTCGATATGCACGAAATTTGGCACAGCGTAATGAATTAGGTCTAGAATGATGAGTGTTAAGTTTCCTGAAAATCGGTTCAGATTTCGATATAGGCCCCATATATATTTTCGTCCGATTTCATGTAAATGGTGCACCAAAGTCCCTATAACTTTCGATTTGCACAAAATTCGGCACAGCATACTGAATTGCGCCTAGAATGATGTGTGTTAAGTTTCGTGAAAATCGGTTCAGATTTAGATATAACTCCCATATATATTTTCGTCCGATTTCATGTAAATGGTGCACCAAAGTCCCTATATATCTTTCGATTTGCATGAAATTTGGCACAGCGTAATGAATTAGGTCTAGAATGATGAGTGTTAAGTTTCCTGAAAATCGGTTCAGATTTCGATATAGTTCCCATATATATTTTCGTCCGATTTAATGTAAAGGGTCCACCAAAGTCCCTATATATCTTTCGATTTGCAAGAAATTTGGCACAGCGTAATGAATTAGGCATGGAATGATGTGTGTTAAGTTTCCTGAAAATCGGTTCAGATTTAGGTATAGCTTCTGTATCTGACCAAATGAAAAATGTTGTATCGGTTGCAGAATGACATGGTTATGGATCCAATTTCATTTTACTGGTCCTTTAGAAATGCGACGTCTGTTAGGATTCATCTGTTGAATATACCCAAAGTGGTCGGTCCCGTCCGACTTTATTGCTTTCCTTACTGGTTTAAAAATATTTTTAAAGAAAACAACTCATAATGCGCAGATCTGAGTTTTCTTCATTAAATAGTCCTCTATGAAATCGGAATTTAATTGAAACTCTTCCTCTCCTTTATTTCCAGTTTAAGTTTCCCTGCTAAGAAAGAAAATGCGAAGCTCCTTTATTATCCTCTGCCTAGCGGCAGTGTGCCTCATTGGTAGCTGCCATGCTGCATCCTACAAACGTGGTGATAAAATTTCCGAACATTTCAAACAACTGGATTTGGCACCCGAAGAAATTGATCCGAATGTAGCGCCACTGGATAGTGAAAATGAAATTATTTTCGATAGCGAAGTTGTCGATCAAGCTGAAGAAGAAGCTGTTGCTGCTGCCGCAGCTATTACCGAAAGTTCAGTTGTCGAAGAGGCAGCCCAATCGGTGGCTACCACAGTTGCTCCGGTTACTGCTGCCCAAACTGCTGCCGCCGCACCTGCCACTGAAGCCCCTGTAAAGGTCGAAGAAGAATCTACCAGCCCCTTGGCCAAATACTGTAAATGTAGCGGTAACCACTGCGATTGTTGCCGTAACTTCAATTTGCCCTTCATTCCCGTCAAGGGACCCGGTTGTGCCCGCATGAGCTATTTGGGTAATGAGAAAATGTCTGTCAGCTTGAAATATGGTGATTTGACATTGGTCTCCAGAACTGTATCGAGTAAGTGGATTTATTGCGATTTTTTTCGACAGAAATAGAATTAATTATTTTCGGAAATTTTAGGCAGACGTGCCCGCCCCATTTGTGTTGGTCTTCCCGGTGGCTATTCCCAATTCTGTGGCCGCATTTATGGTCTCTCTAAGGCCAGTGAAAACTTCAAGGCCTGTCTAGGTTTTGAATTGCGTGCCGATGATGAAGTTGAGGCTGCTCTCCGCGTATCCTGTTTCAAATTTGGGGCCGATGGTTTGAAGGTTGCCGATGCCGAACCCTTGCCAAGTGAAGCTGTTAAACAAGAGGAGGATGATGATGATGATATCTTCGGTTTTGGAGGTAAGGTCTAATTTCAAAATAAAAATTTTTCATAGAAAAAATTTCATAGTGAAATTTTTATTTATAGTGAAATTTTTATAGAAAAAATTTTATAGTGAAATTTTTATAGAAAAATTTCATAGTGAAATTTTCATAGAAAAATTTCATGGTGAAATTTTCATAGAAAAATTTCATGGTGAAATTTTCATAGAAAAATTTCATAGTGAAATGTTTATGAAAAAAACAATCATAGTGAAATTTTCATAACAAAATTTTCATTGTGAAATTTTTATAGGAAAAATTTCATAGTGACATTTTTATGAAAAAAAATTCATAGTGAAATTTTCATAACAAAAATTTCATAGTGAAATTTTCATAACAAAAATTTCATAGTGAAATTTTCATAGCGAAATTTTTATAGAAAAAATTGCATAGTGAAATTTTTATAGAAAAAAATTTCATAGTGAAATTTTTATAGAAAAAATTTCATAGTGAAATTTTTATAGAAAAAATTTCATAGTGAAATTTTTATAGAAAAAATTTCATAGTGAAATTTTTATAGAAAAAAATTCATAGTGAAATTTTTTATAGAAAAAAATTCATAGTGAAATTTTTTATAGAAAAAAATTCATAGTGAAATTTTTTATAGAAAAAATTTCATAGTGAAATTTTTTATAGAAAAAATTTCATAGTGAAATTTTTTATAGAAAAAATTTCATAGTGAAATTTTTTATAAAAAAAATTTCATAGTGAAATTTTTTATAGAAAAAATTTCATAATGAAATTTTTTATAGAAAAAATTTCATAGTGAAATTTTTTATAGAAAAAATTTCATAGTGAAATTTTTTATAGAAAAAATTTCATAGTGAAATTTTTTATAGAAAAAATTTCATAGTGAAATTTTTTATAGAAAAAAATTCATAGTGGAATTTTTATAGGAACAATTTTTTAGTAAAATTTTTATAAAAACAAAATTCATAGTGAAAATTTTATAGAAAAAATTTCATAGTGAAATTTTTATATAGAAAAAATTTCATAGTGAAATTTTTATATAGAAAAATATTCATAGTGAAATTTTTATATAGAAAAAATTTCATAGTGAAATTTTTATAGAAAAAAATTTCATAGTGAAATTTTTATAGAAAAAAATTTCATAGTGAAGTCTTATATAGAAAAAATTTCATGGTAAAACTTTTGATAGAAATTTTCATAGTACAAATTTTATAGGGAAATTTACATAGTGAAATTTTTTAATAATTTTTTTCAATGATATTAATATCTGCTCTTTTCCAGCTGGTGACGACGATGAAGACGATTACGATGATGACACCGAAGATGAAGAACCCGAGGAAGCCGATGATGATGACGATGCTGATACCGATTATGCGGATGATGATGCCGATAATGATGAAGCTCCCGCCGATGCCGATTATGGTGGCTTCAGTTTGGCTGGTCTCTTAGATGAATTGGACGATGACGATGATGAAGACGAAAGCAAACCTGTCGTTGCCGTTGCACCCGCCACTGCTGCCCCTATCGATGCCACACGTACCGTTGATGCTGCCCAAAGTAAAGATGAAAAAGGTACCGAAGCTGCCGCTGCCCCCGCTGTAACAGAAATGACCGATGAAGCAGCTGCTGCTGCCACATTGGCCGATACCTTGTCGCCAGCCACCGAAAGCACCACCGCTGCCAAAACGAAAAAAGCTAAGAAAGGCAAAAAGAACAAGAAAAAGAAGGCTGCCGAACCGGAGGGTGGTGATTTCGCTTACGAACTTTTGAATGGCTTGTTGGATTTTTTCAACTAAGCCTGCAACCTGAGGTTGCAGGCATGTTAGGCAATAGTGTAAATACAGTCTTTTGAGAATAGCGAGAATGTCCGCTGCAGGGTGCAAAGAAAAATAGTGAACTTAAAAGAAATTGTTAGTTTTTAAAATAATTTATAGAAAGAATTGAAGAAAACACAAAACTAATTTAATTTAATTTAATTAATTTAAAATGCAAGCTAATTTATTTATTATATAAAAAATAATTTATTTATTTAATAAAAAGAGAAAAAATATAAAAAAACGAATAAACGATTTTATTATAAGAATTGCATGTGCAATTTTCACAAAAAAATTTCATGTGGAATTTTCGTACAAAAAATGTCATTGAAATTTTCATAAAAAAAAATCGTTGAAATTTTCTTAGATAAAATTTCATTGAAATTTTCATAGAACAATTTCATTGACATTTTTTCCTTTGAAAATTTTTCTTGAAAAAATGTCATTGATTTTTTTAGAAAAAATTTCATTGAAATTTTCTAAGAAAAAATGCATTGACATTTGTTTAGAAAAAAAATTCGAAAAAAAAATTTTTGAAAAATTCATTGAAAGTTTTTCTTGAAAAAATGTCATTGATTTTTTTTTTAGAAAAAATTTCATTGACATTTTCTAAGAAAAAAATGTCGATGCAATTTTCTTTGATAAAATTTCATTGAAATTTTCTTAGAAAAAAAGCATTGACTTTTTTTCGAAAAAAATTCGACGAAATTCCTTTATAGACAGTGCAAATCGACTTTGGTGCACCATTTACCTAAAATCGGACGAAAATATATATGCGAGCTATATCGAAATCTGAACCGATTTTTCCGAAACTTACCACACATCATTCTAGACCCAATTCAGTACGATATGCCAAATTTCGTTCAAATCGAAGGATGTATAGGGACTTTGGTGAACCATTTACATTAAATCGGACGAGCTATATCTAAATCCGAACCGCTTTTCACGAAATTAAACACACATCGATGTAGGCTTATTTCGGTACGCTTATTTCGGCAAATTTCGTGGAAATCGAAGGATATATAGGGTCTTTGGTGTACTATTTACTTAAAATCGGACGAAAATATATATGCTAGCTATATCGAAATCAGAACCGATTTTCCCGAAACTTACCACACATCATTCTAGACCCAATTCAGTACGATATGCCAAATTTCGTGCAAATCGAAGGTTGTATAGGAACTTTGGTGAACCATTTACATTAAATCGGACGAGCTATATCTAAATTTGATCCGATTTTCACGAAACTTACCACACATCATTCTAGGCCAAATTCAGTGCGCTGTGCCAAATTTCGTGCAAATGGAAGGATATTAAGGGACTTTGGTGCACTATTTGCATAAAATCGGACGAAAATATATATCTGAACCGATTTTTCCCAATTTCAATAGGGTTCGACCTTGGGCCAAATCCCATCCATTTCGAATCAAAAATGCGGCCTGTAATTTGTTCACAAAAATACATGGACGGACGGACATGCATAAATCGACTCAGAAAGTGATTCTATGCAAAATTCTTAGAAAAATTATCAAAAATTTTCAATGAAATTTTCATAGGAAAGATTTCATGGATTTTTTTTAGAAAAAATTTCAAGTAAATTTTCATAAAAAAATATCAGTTAAAATTTTAAATGAAATTTTCTTAAAAAATTTCATTGAAATTTTCTTAGACAATGTTTCATTGCAATTTTCTTAAACAAAATTTCATGAAATTTTCTTAGACAAAATTTCATTGCAATTTTCTTAGACAAAGTTTCATGAAATTTTCTTAGACAAAATTTCATTGAAATGTTCTTAAACAAATCTTGAAAAATATTCTTTAAAAAATCCACGCCTTGTTTTGAGGTTCTTGAAAAAATATTCTTTAAAAAATCCACGCCTTGTTTTGAGGTTCTTGAAAAAATATTCTTTAAAAAATCCACGCCTTGTTTTGAGGTTCTTGAAAAAATATTCTTTAAAAAATCCACGCCTTGTTTTGAGGTTCTTGAAAAAATATTCTTTAAAAAATCCACGCCTTGTTTTGAGGTTCTTGAAAAAATATTCTTTAAAAAATCCACGCCTTGTTTTGAGGTTCTTGAAAAAATATTCTTTAAAAAATCCACGCCTTGTTTTGAGGTTCTTGAAAAAATATTCTTTAAAAAAATCCACGCCTTGTTTTGAGGTTCTTGAAAAAATATTCTTTTAAAAATCCACGCCTTTGGTCCTTGAAAAAATCTTCTTTTAAAAATCCACGCATTTGGTCCTTGAAAAAAAATTTTCTTTTAAAAATCCACGCCTTGTTTGGTCCTTGAAAACAAATCTTCTTCTAAAAATCCACGCCCTGTTTGGTCCTTGAAAACAAATCTTCTTCTTAAAAAAATCCACGCCTTGTTTGGTCCTTGAAATAAATCTTCTTTTTAAAAAAATTCACGCCTTGTTTGGTCCTTGAAAAAAAATCTTCTTTTAAAAATTCACGCATCGTTTGGTCCTTGAAAAAAATCTTCTTTTAAAAATCCACGCCTTGTTTGGTCCTTGAAAAAAGTCTTCTTTAAAAAATCCACGCCTTGAAAAAAAATCTTCTTTAAAAAACCCACGCTTTCTTGGTGCTTAAAAAAAGTCTTCTTTAAAAAATCCACGCCTTGGTTTGCTCTTGAAAAAAGTCTTCTTTAAAAAATTGTTTTATTAAGAATCTCCAGGATATATTTTATTCCTCCATTCCTTTTAAAAAATATATGTATGTAAGGGTGTTAACAACAAATATGCTAACAAGCATGAACAACTTTTCAAAAAGGCGTGATAGTGATAGTACTGCCACCCACAAGTAGTTCTTTGAAAGTAGTTGGGGGTTTGTTGCCATCTTCAAGAGGAAACTTTTTTTAACACCGGATACAACTAAAATAAAATAAAAAAATCCAAATCTCTTTTGACCAACTTTCGTGTGAATGAACACACATTTCAAATAGAAAAGGGAATGAAATAAACGAAGGTACCAAATATTTAAAACAAATTTAAACATTTATTAACAAAATGGTTTAATTTCAAAAACTAAAGCATACTTTTAGGTGTTCACTATGCCAATGCCAGTTTGCAACTCTCCAAACATCCAACCCTATATCCATCCATATGTTTGGAGAATTGAAAGTTATTTGAACTTTTGCGGAAAACGTCATAACCTAATTGCCCCGTTAGAGCAGCAACAACAACGTTAACTATTGGTTTCGGCCAAACAAATACCGTTATTTGTTTCGACCCAAAACTGAAAACTTTTTCAATTGCAATAATACTATTTTGCCAAAGTACTTTTATGGTCGTTAAAAGTTTTTCATTTTCATGGTTTTTCGATTTCAATGTGTAAATAAATTACAACTGCAACAACAACAGCGACAGCAACACCAACAACCTGGGAAGTGTTATCAAATATTTCCAGCCACAAATATCCAACCACACTAGTTTGTGGGTCGGATATAAACATGTTGCTGCTTGTTGAAAGTTGTGTTCTAAACAATGTGGATCAGTGTTTCATTGGCGGGGCTGGTGGGTATGGGACGGAAGTAAACATGAGGGTGTGTGGACAAAGTGTAGCACAGAGGCTGATTTAAAAAAAAAAAAAAATTCAAGCACCTTGAAAAAATATTCTTTAAAAATCCACGCCTTATTGCTGTGGTGGTCCTTGAAAAAATATTCTTTAAAAATCCACGCCTTATTGCTGTGGTGGTCCTTGAAAAAATATTCTTTAAAAATCCACGCCTTATTGCTGTGGTGGTCCTTGAAAAAATATTCTTTAAAAATCCACGCCTTATTGCTGTGGTGGTCCTTGAAAAAATATTCTTTAAAAATCCACGCCTTATTGCTGTGGTGGTCCTTGAAAAAATATTCTTTAAAAATCCACGCCTTATCGCTATGGTGGTCCTTGGAAAAATATTCTTTAAAAATCCACGCCTTATTGCTGTGAATGTCCTTGAAAAAATATTCTTTAAAAATCCACGCCTTATTGCTGTGGTGGTCCTTGAAAAAATATTCTTTAAAAATCCACGCCTTATTGCTGTGGTGGTCCTTGAAAAAATATTCTTTAAAAATCCACGCCTTATTGCTGTGGTGGTCCTTGAAAAAATATTCTTTAAAAATCCACGCCTTATTGCTGTGGTGGTCCTTGAAAAAATATTCTTTAAAAATCCACGCCTTATTGCTGTGGTGGTCCTTGAAAAAATATTCTTTAAAAATCCACGCCTTATTGCTGTGGTGGTCCTTGAAAAAATATTCTTTAAAAATCCACGCCTTATTGCTGTGGTGGTCCTTGAAAAAATATTCTTTAAAAATCCACGCCTTATTGCTGTGGTGGTCCTTGAAAAAATATTCTTTAAAAATCCACGCCTTATTGCTGTGGTGGTCCTTGAAAAAATATTCTTTAAAAATCCACGCCTTATTGCTGTGGTGGTCCTTGAAAAAATATTCTTTAAAAATCCACGCCTTATTGCTGTGGTGGTCCTTGAAAAAATATTCTTTAAAAATCCACGCCTTATTGCTGTGGTGGTCCTTGAAAAAATATTCTTTAAAAATCCACGCCTTATTGCTGTGGTGGTCCTTGAAAAAATATTCTTTAAAAATCCACGCCTTATTGCTGTGGTGGTCCTTGAAAAAATATTCTTTAAAAATCCACGCCTTATTGCTGTGGTGG